ATCTGGTATTTGGCTCTGTACTGAAGCCATTACTGTACTTCGGGTACCACCTCATGGAGACAATTAACAATTATACTTCTTTGTCTGAGAGCATTTTTTTTGTGGAGGAAATACAGAATGGCACCTTCACCACCTTCTGTGATGTTCTCTCCCTTGTTACAATAACTTCAGTATCTTGAACATCCTTGGACGGTCAAAATACTTCTACTGGTATTTCTTAGGAATATTGTTTTGACTACTTCTAAGGTTGACAAGCTTATCACCCAGGCACCATGGCAGTGTGGTTACAGGTAGCAAGGCCTGCGGGAGAATATGGGCAGGTATCTAGAAAGCTTGTCACCTCTGATAGTCAGGGACTTCACTCCCAAAGGAGTGTGGGATCCTGATGAAGTGATAGAATGTTTGGAAGAAAGATGTCCTGGCTATTCCAAAGAGGCACAACTTAGCTCACTGTGCTGGGGTCTGGCCTGTACCTCCTGAACACTGCTCAATACTTTTCAGCACCCTCAAGGAGAAGAGAGGGTCTCTGATCTGAAAACATACCAACAGATACTGTGGCGAAGCCAGAGACCTGGCCTTCAGCTGTATCAGTTGGTCCTATAACTAAAAGAAACAATTGAAATGGAAGTCAACTTGTTGAGTAAGGGATGAAGAAGCTTCTCTTAAGAGGGAGCAGGAGAGAGAATCAGAATAGGCAGCCTGTTCAGCAGCAGAGCAGTCACAGGAATGGGAAGAGGGAGGGACTGAAATCATAAATGAGACTGAAACCACCTGATCCAGATCCCTATCCCTAAGTGAGCTGTTAGATATGCAAAAAGATTTCAGCTCTCAACCAGGCAAGCAAATTCTCAGCTGGCTACTCTGATGCTGAGGTATTGGGTCCACTAGTCAGGAATTAGAGGCTAAGGAAGCCTGGCAGCTGGGATCCCTTGCTAGGGATAAAGCCATTGACAAAGGGATTGTAAAAGGGGCAGGAGTCTTTGGAGGTGACTCCTATCAAGTGTGAAGGACAGGTATCCCTTCAAGGAAGATCTTGCAAATTCCCTAAGCAAATGGACCACCACTGAGGGAGGCATCCAGTATCTGAGGGAATTAGTTGTGGTGGAGGTGATTCATAGCAACCTGGATGACAACCAGGTATCCAAAGACCTGGATGAAACCTGGTGCATGCAGTCTATGTAGCAAAAGTTTGTATGAAGTGCACCGATGTCATGTGCCAGCACCCTGGTAATAATGAGCTGGACAGACATGGAGGCACCAACTGTGGATGGACTGGCCAGCCAACCCTGAGAATTTGAAGAGAATCTTGCTTCCTCCATATAGGCCTGTGTCTCAGCTGTGGAGAAACCCACAAGCTTCTTTCTCACTTTTACCCTTCTGATTCTCCCTGCCATCCCACCACAGGGGGCGAGTGGCTGTGTGGGGCTTAGTTGACAGCTGGGGTTAAACCACAACAGCCATATAACTGCTCTTAAATCTGTAGCAAGTCTTTATGCTATAGACTAGAATACTTTCAAAATTAGTGTCATGCCATACCCTTTGGCTAGTTAAGCAGCTTAGTCTAGACATACAAAACAATCTTATTTTTTCTGTATGATTGGGCAATGTAAGTATTTGGTTCCTTCTGTACCTTTCCGTTTCCCTCTTATGAATACCAGTACAGACTGACCCTTCCATGGCTTCCCTCAACCCCTTTAGGTCCTGAAGAGGCAGCTGGGGGTGTTCTGAATGAAAAAATAATAGGCAGCTTCTTTGGGCTGGGGAGCATGTGACTTCGGTGTTCAAAAATCCGTGTCCAAACATCTACCAAAAAATTATTCACCATCAATGTTTCTTAATTTTTTGTGTATTGTTATGTGTGTACTTGGGGAGGGGCAACTTAAGTGGGTAGTATATAAGAATTTCAGTTGAAAATATCTCAAAATTAACATAGTGGCAGTAAAAAAAAAAACAACCAAAAACATTTTTGTAAAAAGCTGGTTGATGAGTTATACAAAGATAGTTTTGGAGCTCAGGTAGTTGAAAAACTTATAGGAAAGAGCATTTTTTTTTTCAGTCTCCTGCAAAATGTCTAGCAAAATATTGTGAAGGCAGTGATTACTTTCCTTGTGATGTACTGTTTTATTGTCTGTGCTGCACAGAAGGGGACTTGGACTGACAACTGTGATTCTTTTTGTACAGACTACAAATAATTTTATTTTTAAAAGAGTTTAATATTAAAAATGTTTGCTTTACATAAATACACTCAGACTTTTTTTATTTTTAATTCTAGGGAACATGAATGGTTTAAGCAGGACCTTCCAAAATACTTGTTTCCTGAAGACCCATCATACAGCTCTACTATGATTGATGATGAAGCCTTAAAAGAAGTGTGTGAGAAGTTTGAATGCACTGAAGAGGAAGTGCTAAGTTGTCTATACAGCAGAAATCATCAGGACCCTTTGGCAGTTGCTTATCACCTCATTATAGATAACAGAAGAATAATGAACGAGGCCAAAGACTTCTACTTGGCTACAAGCCCACCGGATTCTTTTCTTGATGATCACCATCTGTCTCGCCCTCATCCTGAAAGAGTGCCATTCCTAGTAGCTGAAGCACCACGTCCTCGCCACACTCTTGATGAGCTGAATCCACAGAAGTCAAAACACCAAGGTGTAAGAAGAGCTAAGTGGCACTTGGGAATACGGAGTCAGAGTCGACCAAATGATATCATGGCTGAAGTTTGTCGAGCAATTAAACAACTGGATTATGAATGGAAGGTAAAAGACTAAAGGATCTTTACAGCAGACAACAGTAAATTTTTGTTTGCGCTGTATAGTTACATAGCCTAGAGGTCTGAAGCTGTTGTTCTGTACTGGAAAATAATCTCATGTGTCTGTGCTGTCTGCTTGTGCTTGCTGTGCAGGAAGGGTTTTGGGGGAGGCTGTTCCTGCTGACAGCGGGGAAAAAAAAAAAAAGTCTTGCTAATGTCTAACTTTTCTGTTGAGGCTATAGGAATGTTTTTCTGTTGCCTAAAACAAACAAACAAAAAAAAATCGCAACTCCAACAGGTGAGCCTGAAATCACTTGATAATAGCAGTGAGTTGAAATGACAAAAACAATATGCACTGTTTTTCAAGCAGTTCTGGTAACTAACTCAAATCACTTTTGTACTAGGTTGTAAATCCATACTATCTACGTGTTCGAAGGAAGAATCCAGTAACAAGTGCATATTCCAAAATGAGTCTACAGTTGTATCAGGTGGACAGCAGAACATACCTACTGGACTTTCGTAGCATTGATGGTATGTGAAGACTTAAGTTAATGGAGTTGTACAGGAAATCATTCTAAATGCAAACATGTCTTAATTTACTTGTTTAGGAGTGAAGTAAGTGTTGCCCTTTATTAGTTTAAGTCAATCTAGATCTGTATTAGTGTTTCTTTATTCCTTCCTGGTCTAGTGTTCCTGTGATCAGATGGTTAGCTGCTCTATCCCTTAAATAATAGCTTTTCAGCTATATCAACTGCTACATTTTGTGTTTGCACCAGTACTAATACCACTAGTGCAAATGGGGACAGGGCTGCTGTTGTCCAAAAAGTGGATTTGTCACCCGGTGTTCAACAAGCCAATAATCACAGACTCAAGAGAGACATTTTTTATTTCATATTTGCACCAAGATGGGTGCTAGGTGATAATTCCACAAAGCTAGCACGCTCTACAGTTAAACAAGCAAGCAATTTATACAGTTTCAGATTCACCCACTTAGTTTCCAGAGTCCTTTCCCAAAATCATTATTGGTAGTCACTTATCTGCCACCATTTCTGTTGGGCTAAGGTTTTTTCCACTTCGAATTAGAGGTACAGTGTTCTTCTATTCTGCAGTGCATGCTCAAGGAGTGTGTTGTGGGGTAAGTCTTTCAGGTCCTGAATTGAGTTGGTGGCTGTGATCTCCCCCTGCTGCATTTACCTTTCCCCCAGTTACTGCAGATGTCCACTGACATCATGCCTATTATCAGTTACTCAACTTTCAGAGCCTTCTGGGGCAGGGCGTTCTCTTCTTATCAGTCTTTATTTCTTCTTCAAGGTTCCTCAAGGCCCAATTACTCCAGGATGTCCTTGGTTAAAGAATTCTAGCTGTTTTCTGATTACAAATGATTAAGTGTCTTTAGACTGTCAGCTTAATATATACAAAGAACATCTTGCATGGAAAGAAACAGATCATTTCACATTTTTAGGTTAATCCTCAACACTGAGAGGTGAGATTTGCATCAATCTAAACTCCCTTAGGAGCCTCACCCCCAAATTTAAACATTAATTTAGATCTGAAGTAAGCATGTGAGTAACATTTCCTAGTGAAGATAAGGCTTAGCATCTAGGCATTTAAATTTGACTTGGACTGTACATTGCTGTACTGGGTCTGGCTGAGATGGAGTTTATTTTCTTCATAGCAGCCTATATAGTGCTGTGTTTTGGATCTGTGACTAAAACAGTGTTGATAACACACTAGTATTCTGGCTGTTGCTGAGCAGTACTTGCATAATATCTAGTCTTTTTCCCTACTCTGTCTCACCCAATGAGTAGGCCAGGGATGAGCAAGAAGTTGGGAGGGGATGCAGCCTGGAGAGCTGAGCCAGATTGATTTATTCATTTATGTATTAATCAAGATTTTAAAAAACAAGGTTTAGAAGTGCGAGAAGGGGAAGATGTTTGCTGTCCTACAACTGATTTGATACTGATACCGAATTTTCTTCCTCTCTCCCCTTGCCCCCCAGATGAAATTACTGAAGCAAAGTCTGGGACTGCAACTCCACAGAGATCGGGTTCTGTGAGCAACTACAGATCCTGTCAAAAAGATTCAGATGCTGATGGGCAAGGAAAATCTGCAGATACATCCCTTACCTCATCAGTGAGCTCTTCGCTTGACTCTTCTACAGCTGACTTAACTCCAAGACCAGGGAGTCATACAATAGAATTTTTTGAGATGTGTGCAAATCTTATTAAAATACTTGCACAATAATTTTGAAGATGGGCTTATTTCTTTCATAGCAATAAGCATGCCTAAATCATAGTCAGATGCTTCCAATTATAATCAAGTTAAATTAACTAAGAGGCTGAAAAAGCTAGCCACAGAATACAACTTGCACAGGGATTAAAATGATTGTGGGCAGTTAAAGTGTATTATTTTGAAGCTGGAGTGAATTCTGATTGTCTGCTGTCCAATAGCATAATACAGGTACAGGAAATCACATGCCCTTGGGGCAGTGTTCATAACCTTTTACATTGAGCGCACATTAGGCTGCATATAACATTTAAGTTAGACGGACCTTGTTTTTTTCACTGGTAATACGTACATCTGATGCACTGTAAGTAAATGTACACTTACTAGTTCAGTGACCTAAATATGACTTGTTGGTCACCACCTACAGTTGTGCCTCAGTTGGTCAGAACTATCAACATCTGTCTTCTAACAGTAATGTGTTAAACCTGCTGTGTTTCTTCCCCCTTACTTGACAGTAAATGGTAAAGAATAGTTTAATGTGTTACAAGGTACTACTTTTAACAACTGATAAATTTGATTAAATGCGTACAAATCCAACCAGTTGGAAATGCATGTTAGGTGCTCAGTAACGCAGTAACGGTGAAATTCTGTGGGCTGTGACTAGAACAACTGAGTCCACAACAATGGCGAGAGACTTAATGCTGAGAAGACTTGGCACTCCGTGGGCTAAAATGAAATATTGCTCTGTGAAGGAGAACTGTTGGCAAGCTCCAGATCTGTGCGTAGACTTTAGTGTGGTAGCAGCACAGCAGATCCCCACTGCTACTGCAGGCTGAGGATCCTTTTCCTTAGAAACATGTGCATGTAGTTAAGAGCACAGCCTAAGGGCTGTTGCACGCTATTCCAGAATCTGAAATTGACAGTTTTTAAAAATACATGTTAATACTTTGATACAGCTGTTTATCACGTTAACTTAGCATATACTATGTAGAATTCACTTTGCAGTTGAAACTACCTGTATAGGTTAGGTTTTCTGAGGCCACCTTTATAGCAAACTTTGCTATTTAAATTAATTGTGAAATTAAATAGTCCAACTTTTCAGCTGAACGTTGAAAACTGATCACGACAACTTGAGTGCTAATATTCAAAAAGTTTTCAACAGTAGATTGCAATTACCAATAACATAAATCCTTCTGCATTTATGTTTTTTGCAATGTTTCAGGAAGAAAACGGAACCTTGTATCTTAAAATCACAGCTAGCACTTGCATAAAAACATTTACTTGCAAATTGGATATCATTAGCCACAGTTCCATTTTCATCTAGCAGTAATAGGCATAAACAGTAAACTAGATGTCATAAAATGTTTAGTTTTGCATTCAAGAATTAATGTTTTCTTCAAAATAAACTTAATGACCTATTCAGTTTCAAAGGTTGCTCTCCCAGGGAGAGACTGGAAGTCAAGACATTACTATGAACAGTGAAAGCTGGACTCTTAAAATGGATGGGGATTCTTGCCAATGACTGAGATTTCATCCATGGAAAACTGCTAGTTACAAATGTAAGAACAGTTTAATCCAGGCCAGCTGGCTTCAGTCCAGAAATTCATCTGTTACAAACATGCACAGAATCTGAAGGAAACAAAGCTGCTTTAAGTCCCAGAACTGCTGTAACTGTGTCCTGAGCTGGGCGATTGTGTGGTCTGTCTAGTATGTAGGTACAAGTTACAACTTCAGTTCTTTATCCTCAAGTGTCATGCACGGTCCCTGTAATGCAAGGTGGAAGATTTTCCTTAGATAAACCTTTCGGTTTAAATTCCTGAGATTGAGAAGTCAACGTGAGGGACCAGCTGCAAATCCTACATTTAAGTCCTGTTTTGAGTCTTGCTAAGAATTGGTTCTGATGTACTGAATAAATCAGTGTGTTCATTTTTGTTACCCTTTTATTTTGAAATTGTTAAATATTGCACTTGTACACATAGAACAAACACACAGCTTTTTTAACTGTGGTAATTCCTCATCTGCAGTTGGTTTGGGATCACTCTTGCGTATGTTAAACCAAGTATAAATGATGTCGTCTCCTTGTAATGCTGATCGCAAATGCAAGGTGTCAGGGTGCATTTAATTTTAATATACAGCTTTTAATTTTTATATACTTTTTTGTCCCTCTTTGCATTAAGACCACTATGGTTTTTCCTTTGTCTTACTATCTGGAGGTTAAAGTAAGTTTCTGGCAGAAGTGTACTGTATGCTTAGTTTTAAATAAAGTAAATTTTACTGGCATGATAAATCAGTTTTGATGGCCAAAAGTTTTCTGATTGAACTGAGATTTTTATAGGGGGTGAGGGAGGGAGAAAGGGGCCTGACAACCTACTTTAACCCAGAACAGCTGTCTGTTGTGTGACTTTGCTATGCTCTGTAGATCTTGCTGTTGAAACTGCTTTCTTCACATGTTCCTACTGATCTTGCAGACGTTTTTTTTAGGACCACACTAGTATCTGCCAATAGGCTGTGAGCAGAACTTCACCGAGAAAGCTGCCAGGGTTGTAAGGAGGCAGCTTATGCAAATACACACATTGGTCAAGTATGTTACTCTGTATTCCCAAGCTTACTCCATTGGAGTACCTTGAATTATCTTGCCTTTGTATTGTAATTTTTTTCAAAACCATGGATGAACCTGATTGTCAATATAAGTCAATAGGTAATGGATAAAAATTCATCTTGGTGGTGCAATATTTAAAAAACCAAAACCAACCAACTTTCATGTTTGTCTTGATACATGCGTTTAATACGACCTTGGAAATAAATTTTATTTTACTGGTTGATTACCATTGTAAGATACGAAGTCCTGTTCTTGAACAAAGATGTGCCTACTTCCTATGTTACGTCTTTCGACAAAGCTGAATGGCAAAAGTGCTTGTTTATAACTGTGTAACTTTTTAAACTTTCAAAACTTAAACCTAAGTAAACATGAAATGCTGAACCATCTTGTCTGAAGCCGTCTGCGTGCTGTCTTGTAGCCTTAGGTTATGTTACAGATTGACAAGGACTGCTAACGCTTGTTTTGGAAACGGCAGCAATCGCGATTTTGGAACACGCAGCAACGTGACGACAGGTGACTGCAGCACTCGCTCCCAGCTAGGCCGGCAGGCTGGGCCGCCAGCTGCGCTCGCCTGGCCCCTGACGGACCGTTTTCCCCTAGATGCCCTAAGGCCTCTTGCTGCGAAAAGGAGTTCGAGGTGGACGGAACGCCGGATGCTCGCTGCAGAAGGCCCCTTTCGCCCTGCCCTGGGGCGGCTCGCCTTACTTCGCATCTTCCTTTCCGCTCTGCTCTCGTCGTGCACCTTTTCCCCGGTGACGAGGGAGCGATTTTAAACCCTTCTTCCTGCGGGGGGGGGTGGTGGGGGGAAGAACCCTCAACGACCCTTGGTCGTTCCTCCCGGCAGCCCTTCCCGCCCGGCGCCGGGGAGCGAGGTGACCGCTCTGGGAGGACCGGCCGGGGGTGCCG